GGCCCTCCTGCCCAAGGCGAATCACTTACAAACTTCACTGTATTACCTCTCTCACCTATAATTTTATCCTCTTCCTCTCTAACTTCCTACAATGAGCATTTAAACATGTACAAAACCTTCCCATTAAAACCCAAGACACAACATTCATCCCTTGTTCATTATTTCCTGTCCACCTACCATCCTCTCTCCCACAGGCCCTTCACAACCAAGCTGAAGAGTTGTCCTCACTCACTGTTTCTATTTCCTCATTCCTGAACACTCCGCAATAGGGTTTTTAATCCCATCCCCCCAAACCAGTGCTATCGTTCTCCTCCTCAGGTAAACCTTTACATCCTTGAGGCTAAATCCGAGAAACATTTTTCAGTCCATATCTTCCTGATCTCCTGATACTGGTGACCTTTGGTTCTTTCTTAAAATATTCTTTCTCCTCTGAGTTCATGCTGTCACTGTCTCCTGATTTTCCTCCTCTCTCTCTGGCTGCTCCTTCTTACTCAGCCTGTCCTTGAATTGTTTCATTTCCTCTGAATACTGGCCCAAGCCTGTCTCTCTTCTCACTCAAAACAACTTCCATCGCTTCTGGTCATGCATTCATTCAACAAATATTTATTAAGTGTCTGTTATGTAAAAGACACTGTTCCTAGGCAATGCATTGTTCTAAGCACTCCTATCATATGTTCATTTACATGCTGATGAATCCTAATTTACATTTCCAGCTATCACCTTTCTCCTGAGGTTGAGATCTATATATTCAGGGGCATACTCAATTTTTCTACTTAAATATGGAAAATTCAGACACCTCAAATTCAACAGTACAAATTAAACTCATCTTCTCTTGTCTCCTACTTCTCCCACCACCCCTCTCCTCCCCAAGAAAACCTCAAACCTACTTTCTTCTCTTGGGTTCTTATCTCAATGAACAATACCACTAACCTTCTACCCAGCAACCTAAACAGGACACAAAGGAACTTCAATTTTAGCTCTTAAATAACACGCAAATCTATAAGCTTCTCTCCATCTTCATTAGTAGCATCTTGGCAAAGAAACCATTCTCCCACCAGGATGGAACAGAATCTCTTAACTGATCTCCTTGCTTCCAGGTTTCTCCTCTCAACTCCCTTACCTCTCCATTCCAATTTGTGCACCATTGTAGCCAGAGGGAACTTTCTAAAATGCAAGTCTGATCATGTCATCTTCCAACTCAAAGGCCTTCAATGGCTTCCCAGTGCTCTTAGAAAAAAGGTAAAATCCTTTAAGTGGCTTAAAGTCCTTCCTGATCTGGCACTTGCTTTACCTCTCCAGCTTCATTTCAGTTAAATCCTCCCCTTACATTACAGTTAAATTAATGAACACCAAACTTCATTTCCTCCAAAGGGCCCTCAGCCTGGACCCCTCTTGTATCTGTGCTCTTCAGGTTAACTTATACTCCTTTTTAGCTTTTACCTTAAATGTCTCTTTCTCTGGAAAACTTTTCCTGATTCCTCAATTCTGTGTTATGTGCCCCTCTTACATACATTTAGCACCCCACCATAGCACTAATCACAGCACACTGTAATTGCTTGTTCACTTGTGTATTAGTGAATGGTATCATTCATCATTTTATTCATAGAGCCCAGCATAGTAGGTTCTCATATACTTAATGAACAAAGAAATACATAAATGAATGAAAGAGTTCTCAATCTTGGTTTTCAACCAAAGAACAGATTTAACAAGGTTGAAAAAACCAACTCCAAGAGATCAGAATTCCTGCCATCATTCTGAAGAGAAGGAAAAACATAATAATCCCAAGTAAATGACAATTATACCCAGCCTTTATTATATTCAATGTATTATTATTGTAGAAAAGGCACTGGTCATTAGAAAAGCATGACCCAAATTTTACTCATCTTAGATGGCATAATAGAGCATCAGAAGATAAAAACTAACGACCAAGACACTGGTCTTGTTTAAAATCCCATTCTAAGTATTCTCATCTGGGAGCTTCTCTGGCATAATCAATATTTAGCTCCTATGTATTTTTCTAGGCCATGCAGAAACACCCTATTTAACATAGGTACACAGTTGGTGAGGTAGAAGACCAAGGCTAGAAATCTGTATTTTTATTCTCACCCTTGACACCAATTTACTTCCCTCCATTTGATTTACCTTCTCCTATAAGAAAAAGGACATGCCTGAAACTTACCATCTTTTACTGGAGGGAAAAAAGATTTAAAGAATGATTTAAATAAAAAAGAAAGAAAGAAAGAGAAAAAAAAAAAAGAAAAAGATATACAAGGGACTTCCAGTTTCCAGTTCCACATGTAAGAAGCTTGGAAATCACCACTCTAACAAGTGAAAAACTTAAGAGACTAAAGAATCAACTCTTCTTGCATCCACAAGAAAGGGGAGAACATAGAGCAAACTATTGCCCCCAAGATTGGAAAGAGACAAGTGAAAACAGGGAGTCAAAACTTACTGGAGCAGAGACTCAGAACACTTGGTGGGAACCAGTGCTGCAGTAGGAAAACCCAATCTGTAACTGACGAATTTCTGGAGGCTAAGTGTGGACAACTCAAGAGTTAAATGTTCCAGGGGGACCTGTCATAGGAGGGGCCCCACAATTTTGTGAGATTTACCTCCAGGAGCTCAACTAGGTTCCCACGGTAAATACTGAAGAAAAAAATTCCCTTGTGCTTCCAGCAGGAGGGAGAGGAGAATGAACCATTTTGAAATATGCCAGAGGACTCTGTTCTTAAGGAGGCCTGCCCTCTGGAGAAACTAGTTACCCAGAGCTTAACCTGCTTGGGTATTTTTCAGAGCCTAACTGACCCGGGAAAAGGAAACTACTCAACTCCAGCCCCCTTTAGCCTTCTACATGATAGAAGGGAAATACCCAACTCCAAACTACTCTAGCCATCCTGTCCCACCTAAAGGGGGGAAAAAAGACTGAGAAACACTTGTGAAGCTCACAGTTCAGAGGCATAGGCTCACTAAAAGACTGACATCTAATCACAGGACTATGGAATGCTTCCCCTCCCGTGACACCTCACCACCTTATTACTAAAGGCCTATTTACAGTAGTTCCTTTTACTGGGTACATCATGTCTGGCCATCAAGAAAAACTCACAAGGCATACTAAAAGGCAAAAAACACAATTTGAAGAGACAGAGCAAGTATCAGAACCAGACATGGCAATGATGATGAAATTATCAGACCAGGAATTTAAAACAACTATTATTAATATGCTAAGAGCTCTAATGTCCTTTAGTAGGTTAACGGATAAATAAGCTGTGGTATATCCAAACAATGAAATATTATTCAACACTAAAAAGAAATGAACTATCAAGCCACAAAAAGACATAAAGGAAACTTGAATGCATATTACTAAGTGACAGAAGCCAATCTGAAAATACTACATACTATATGATTCCAACTATATGACATTCTGGAAAAGGCAAAACTATGGAGACAGTAAGAGATTAGTGGTTGCCAGGGGGAGGAGGGGGGCGGGTTAAAAAGGTGGAGCACACAGGATTTTTAGGGCAGTGAAACTACTCTGTATGATACTATAATGGTAGATACATGTCACTATACATTTGTCCAAACCCACAGAACATATAACACCAAGAGTGAACCCTAATGTCAACTATAGGCTCTGGGTGACTACGATGTGTCAATGTAGGTTCATCAACCATAACAAATGTACCACTCTGGTGGAGGATGTTGATAATGGTGGAGGCTACATGTGTCTGGGTGGAGGGGGTATATGGAAAATCTCTGTACCTTCCTCTTAATTTTGATGTGTATCTAAAACCACTCTAAAAACTAAAGTCTTAAAAAAAACCACACATTTTTAAATATTATGTCTACATAAAAGAACCTTAAAGAATTACAGAGCCAGCCTCGATGGCCTAGCGGTTAAAATTCAGCACGCTCTACTTCAGCGGCCTGGGTTTGGTTCCCAGGCACGGAACCCCACCACCCATCTGTCAGTAGCCAGGCTGTGGCAGCAGCTCACACAGAAGAACTAGAAGGACTTACGACTAAATTATACAACTACGTACTGAGGCTTTGGGGAGGGGGGAAAAAAAAAAGGGAGGAAGATTGCCAACAGATGTTAACTCAGAGCAAATCTTTCCCAGCAAAAAAAAAAAAAAAAAAAGAATTACAGCAATTACTGACGGAATTTGCTTAATGTCTAGGTATCGAAAAGGAAAAATACTAGCACCTGTATTTATTTAAAGGGGAGTTCTCAATTCAATCAACAAACTCTTAGTGAGTGCCTCCTACGTGTCTAAAACTAGGATAGTCACTGAGGATATAATGGTGAACTCAAAATATATATAGTTCCTGTGCTCAGAGTGCTTATAGTGTAGAGGGGGCACCACAAACAAACAATCAAACGAATAAAAGAACTACAAATCTGGACCATGCTACAAAGAAAACAAACACCTGCTGAAATAAAGATTATGGGGCAGTCAAAAGGGAGAGTCTTAGATCGAGAGAGATTAAGACCTTTATTAGAAGCCACATTTAAACACTGTCCTCAAGGACAAGAAGGAGCCAACATTGTCAAGACCTAGGAACAGAACCTCCAGACAAAGGAACAGCCTGTAAAGAAAGGCTCTTGGTGAAAGATCAGCAAGGCTGGCGATCACAGTGTGCAAGGTGAAGAGGTTGCCAGAGGCCATCATTCAGGATTTTATAGGTCGCTGATAGTGCAACGAGAAGCCCTTTAAGCATTTAAAGCAGGGGAGTGACATTTATACTTAAGGGACCTAGGTTTATAAAAGACATTTTACATTTTTAAAATAATTGACTCTAGGTGCTGTGTGACCTATTTAGTGAAGTTAACCTGGACTTACCCGCCTTGGTAAAAGGCAATTATTCTTTGCCATAGACAAGGAAATTGAAGCTCAGAGAGGTTATACTCATTAAGTCACAAGGTCAAACCCAACCAGGAATCCAAAGCTGAGCTCTCTCCCATCTGCCACACTTAACCAAAGGACTCCAAACTCACTTACCCATTCAGCCCCATTGAGTCAAAAGTGCACTGGCCTCACAACTTCCTCCTGAAACAATAAAAAACAAGTGTGGTGACTTTTAAATACGTCCACAAATATTTTGCTAGGAGCCAGTCTAATTCTCCCTCCCTCGAGTGGCTTAAAATTTCTTCTGTTTCCCACACTGATGTTCTTCATCGATGGAATACTGTATCTATGCCCCTTTTTATGACAAAGTTTTTCTATGGGATCTCATTTGTGTTTTTTTTTTTAATAGCTTTATTGAGATATAATTCACATACCATACAATTCATCTATTTAAAGCATATCTCTGTTTTAAAAATAATTTTTGAACTCGGAGATACCAAACTGGGTCTATCTTTAGCCCACAATTAGTGCAATTAGTTTTTCTCGAATTTGTTTACCTGGTAAATACTTAGTTTCTCTAGCTGGTTCATTCATTTTGCCACCTGACAGGGATGGGCAGGGACCTAGGGCCTAAAGCCACTGCTATACAGCTGAAAAAAGGATCTTAGAGAGACTGCTTCTCCTGCCTTTGGCCATCACCTCTAAATCTTCTTCAAGTAAATCTGGCAGAGACTTCTTCATGTAGAAGTAAGCCAATTGTGATATTAAAAGCTTTTATCAGAGAGGAGGGAAAATATGTATTTATATAGATACTTCTACAAATAATATAAAGAAATCCTACATAGTTCCTTTACAACTTTGCTCTTGTGGCCTCAAGACGCAACCGAATCATGTATCTAACGTTCTCCTTTCTGTGACATATTAGTAAGAGTTTTCAAACTTTCTGTGGTTCTGACAATACTGTATGGTCCTCTCGGAAAGGATAACTGCAACTGAATTTTTTTCAATCTGATCCAAAGTATATTGTTCCTGGAAGAGATTCCTTGAAATTTGTGGCATTAAATTAAGGTTGTTACCTATTTTCATGGAGTTTTCTTCCTTACTTTTGCTTTAGTATTATTTGTTGTCGTTAATTCATTATATTCTATTCTTTGGGGGCGGGGAGGGGAGAGGTGGTGTTAAGGTTGAAGGCTAATGGGTATAAACCTGTACTTATATCTTCTTTCCTGCAGAACTAATTACTTTGAACAAACATTCAAATTTACTGTGAAGCTGGATAAATTCTGACTGACTTCTTGCTACTTCATAAAATTAGTTACATTTGATTTTCTTGACAAATTATACATACCTTTCAAGTATTACTAAATGTATCTACTCACAAAGGATAAAAATCTGACATCCCTGAGAACATTCAAAAAAATATATACCATCATTTTTTTCCAAAAATGTTTTGAATAGCACTTTTAGAATAACTGGCCTCTTGAGGTGATTACTTTAAGAAAGCATATTTGTTTGGATTTTAAATTATTATAAGTTTGTTTCAAAGTTAGCTTAATTTGTCATGCTTGTCTGGTATTTATGTTACAGACATAAAATCTAATATCTTTCTCTTGAATAAATTAAAATTATAAAAGGAAATTACTACTTGTCTAAAGGCTTAAAAAGGGCCAGCCCCATGGCTTAGCAGTTAAGTGCGCGCGCTCTGCTGCTGGCGGCCCGGGGTTTGGATCCCGGGCGCACACCGACGCACCGCTTCTCTGGCCATGCTGAGGCCACATCCCACATACAGCAACTAGAAGGATGTGCAACTATGACATACAACTATCTACTGGGGCTTTGGGGAAAAAAAAGG